ATCAGAACACAGCCAAGCTCCCACCCAATCAGTTCATACCCCCACTGGCAGTTAAAAGGAAGAAACAGCTAAGACCACACATTGCTGTTCAAAGCACGAAGCTGAAAACACCAGCCTGAAGATGACGAATGAGACTTCATCGAAACGTTGCCAAGACACTTCCAATTTTACGCGGGAGAAAACCCGAACAACCAAAGACCTACATACAAATACCCGCGAAAACCTCAGAAAATATATATATATATATATATATATATATATATATATATATATATATATGTCTTTAATTGCATTAAAAACACAAATCCTGTGTGTGTGTGTGTGTTAGAAAAACAAAAGAAATCGAGCACCAGGATAAAAGTATAAACAAAACTGTTTAATATAAAATCACTTAGCTTTCATTGACCAAACTGCCGACATTGTCAGAGTGAAAATAAAGAATCTGGGAGTTTACTTATTTGGCCAGCTGCTTCTGCGCCCTGTTCCTTGAGCGAGTCACTGCTTCATTTGCTTCGATCAGCCGTAATGCTCCTAGTTGTCCCACACCTATCAGCATATTGGCGACTTCCCAAGCTATTCCTCTGCCCATAGTCGCTCCCTTAGCACATGTGCAAACTCCCAAAGACTGATTATCCAGCCATTTTTGCTCTTTGATCCCATCCCCCCTTTCTTCTAACCAAGCCTAAACATCCATCCCAGAGTTGAATTCAGGGCGCGCTACAGATTCATTGTCCTCCCTGGAGGTTGCAGTTGTTTCATCTACAGCCACGCTTCTGATCCTGCAAGGAATAGGGTGGTTGCATTCGTCGTGAGTTACGGTGCTGTCCCTCCCAACCTCTGAGTATCTGGTAAGCAGGTAATAGGTCTATGCGTTGAGGACTCCATATAAGTAAACTCCCAGATCCTTTACTTTTACTCTGACAATATCAGCAGTTTGGCCAACAAAAGCTAAGTGGTTTTATATTGAACAGTTTTGTTTATACTGCCTCATCTTCATGGTGGGTGTCAGTTTGCTTCACCAGACCCACACTCACTAAAACCACACAGGATGTCACCACCACACATCCACACAAAAAGCAAACCCAAAGCCACATTGATGATGAGGCACGACCACAAACAAGAAGCCAGACCACAGCTGCATCATTAGCCACTTTAAACCCCTCCAATCCATACATGAAGCAAACTGACACCCACCATGAAGATGAGGCATGACCACGAACGCGAAGCCAAAAAATAGCAATGCAGCCCACCATCTTAAATCCCCCTGCAACTCAGACTAACCTGAGCACAACAAAGCCCCTACCCAAACAGAACACTCCCCCAGCCAATCAGAGCCCAGCCAACCCCCCATCCAATCAGAGCACAGCCAACCCCCCCATCCAATCAGAGCACTTTAATAACAGAATAATCAGAGAAGCCATCGAGATAGAAAAACGCCCACAAAGCATGAACAAGCGAGATGATACCTCCTGCCTACCAGCCATTTGGAAACCTGCCCTTATTGACAAATGACTCCCTAACACAAAAAATGATACCAGACCCATACTCACAAAAACCACACAGGATGTCACCACCACACATCCATGCAAAAAGCAAACCCAAAGCCACACCAATGATGAGGCACGAACACAAACCAGAAGCCAGACCACAGCTGCATCATTAGCCACTTTAAACCCCTCCAATCCATACATGAAGCAAACTGACACCCTCCATGAAGATGAGGCACGACCACGAATGTGAAGCCAAAATATAGCAAGGCAGCCCAAAATCTTAAACCCCCTGCAACTCAGACTAACCTGAGCACAACCAAACAGAACACTCCCCCAGCCAATCAGAGCACAGCCAACCCCCCAGCCAATCAGAGCACAGCCAACCCCACAGCCAATCAGAGCACAGCCAAGCCCCTAACCAATCAGAACACACCTCCACCCAATCAGAACACAGCAAAGCTCCCACCCAATCAGTTCATACCCCCACTGGCAGTTAAAAGGAAGAAACAGCTAAGACCACACATTGCTGCTCGAAGCACGAAGCTGAAAACACCAGGCTGAAGATGACGAATGGGACTTCGTCGAAACGTCGCCAAGACACTTCCAATTTTACGTGGGAGAAAACCCGAACAACCAAAGACCTACATACAAACACCCGCGAAAACCTCAGAAAACATATATATATATATAATCTCTCTGCAGTATCTATTTACCTATCTATCATCATCATTATCAAACTTCTCTCTATATCTATCTATCTATTTATCTATCTACACACACACGTACACACACACACATACACACACACACACACACACATATATGTATATATCCTCTATTTTTAGTGTTTTAACAATCCCCAAACAATTTTTTCGTTACAAATATTGAGCAATCTTATAAATGCAGAGTGATGTATAGTGGGAGCTTCTCACTGAGAGCTGTGCGCTTCATTTCCAAAATGTTCATGTCTGCAATCACTATTGTATTTCTTTACGTTTGCCCTGAAGAATTTAGCACTTTAGTTCTACTGGCACTTGGAGTACAGCGTTTTGTCATCTTGGTCTGTTTTTGGCTAATGCATTGTGCCCTGATGGCTTTTTAAACTGGTTCCTTTTGGGAAAAAAATAATGTTTTTATTTTCAGAAAAATGTGTCATTGTTTCACAGAGATATTTGTAATAACACTGAGACTCAGGAAGGACAATATTGCTGGATATGGCAGCCATGTATAATCTTTATAGTGTCAACATGTTCCTGCTCTAGATTCCTTTGTATGTGGAAATAAATGTCTATGTTATTATTTTTTGCTTTTTTTTCATTTTGTTTTCTTTTGCCTTACATGGAAGAAAACAAAATCTGCAATCATCAATTCTTCTTAGAAGCTATGAGTTCTAAAGAATCAATTTATGACACAACTTCCAAATTCTTTCCATGTGAAAAAAGAGCAACAAGGATGAACTATCTAATATAGTTATGAAATAGTAAAACCAAAAAATTTCAAAAGCTAGCCAGATGAAAGTATATGTCATTATTCCCTCTGTCATGGTCAGATCATACCCTGGTGGCTATGAGATTTTCCAGTTCAGCAGGGAAGTAGGATCTATTCAAATGATCTACCCTTGGTGACTAATGGACCCCCTTGAGTTTCATAAGGAGCTGGGGATAACCCCTATGGAAGCTTTGGCCATAGTCTGGAATCAGAAAGCTGCCAAGGCCTTAAACATGATAACACCTGTGCACCTTGCCATCAGTCCTGAAACTCCCCATGGTTTACAGAGGACCTAAGGGTGCTGAAAAGGACCAAAAACAGCAAGAGCACTGTTGGAGAAAAAATAAGAACGAATTCAACTGGACAAGGATCAGAGTCACAATTAAGGCCTACCTCGTTACAATAAGAGTGGTGAAACATCACTATTTCTCCAATCTTATTGTATCTGTAGAATGTTGCCCAACAGCTCTGTTCAAGATCACTCAGTCTCTTCTTGGGAAAGCGGGCCAGTGTAAGAGGCCTGCTATGGATCCCATCTATTAAGGAATTCCAGCAGGTGGGTTCAAGAAGTGTATTTTCCGCTGTGGCCCCATCCCCGTGGAACACTCAAACACTGGAAATGAGAACTTCTTCCACCCTTTTAGGCATATAGCTTTCCCAAACTGCATAGTCATATTAGGCTGAATTCTACATGGATGTACTGGTTTATTCTACTTGTCTTTCCTGCAGCTTCTTCACTGAAAATAAATATAATGTATATGCTTTACATAAATTGGGTCTTTGGCAATCTGAGCAATTTTTTAAACAGTATTTTTATAACGGCTTCTTTAGTAGTGGAATTCTTTCACCAAAGAAATTCTTCATACATAATTATTTACTTCATCACTTTTAACAAGTGCTGCAAAATGAGGAAAAGTTTAAATCCAAGAAGTTTGTAGAATATAAACTAACCTTGAAATTATCTAATCAGTATTGAGAATCAACCACCAGCCTAACTGCCATTTGCTCAATAAATCTGCAGCCCAGCAAAAACAAGGCTCAGTTCAATTAATAAGGTGGTTAAAGGATCCATTTAAAAGATAAAAAGTGAAACTCACTATATATCTTGGAAAGGAGGCTGATTGATTACTTTATATTGATATATTTTATCACAATTTAAACTGTTCCTGGAAAGCCATTGTGTGTGTGTGTGTGTGTGTGTGTGTGTGCATGTGCATACATGTATATGTGTGCCCTCATATGCAGAATAAGTGTAGTTACAGTATTTGAAGTGTCAGACTAGTTTTAGAAGTCCCGTTTATAAACCAAACAAGTGCTTGATGCAAATCACTGGCTTTCAGCCTAATCTACTTAGTAATGGGTTGAAATTCTCTCTTAAATATAATTTGACAAGAATAAATCTTGAAAAAATAAAAGTCTGCAATAGAAATGAAACACTATTATGAATAAATTAATAAATATTGTTTTTTAAAAAAGTCTCACACGGATGCCATTTAGAGAAAATATATGCTTGATATTTTCACAGTGACTGAAAACCATCCCATAACTATTTTCTAGATAACATTCCCTAAACTACACTTCATATTCATTGGAGAGGTTGTCTCTGCCTCTCTCTCTGTGTGTCTCGCTGTGTGTGTGTGTGTGTTTATGTGTTCTTCCTTCCCTCCCTCCTTCTCTTCCTCCCTTTCTCTTCCCCCCTCTCTCTGTGTGAGTATGTCTGTGTATGTCTGTGTGTCTTATCAGATTCCCAAGAACATGCTAGAGGGTTATTAATTTATTTGCTTTGAAAGAAGGAAGCAGTTCCATAATAGCTTTGATGAAGTAAAATAAAAGCTATTAGATGGATGGGTAAGATAAGATGTTCCTGTTCATAATTTTAAAGGAGTAAAAATGTAGAAAAACATAATGTATATCAGTTCAAAGAACTTTAAAATAGATTAATTGCAACTACACCTACACACACACACAAATTTTATATAAACACCCACACACATATAAAGCAAATGGTAATAAATGACTTACATGTTCTTGTTCCTGTTGTCAAAATTTTAAGAGGCAAATTTTCAATGTCTTCTACAAATAAGAAAAAATATTAAAACATTTATAGTAAATCCAAGTCATTCTTTAAAATAGCATGAAATTAAACCCCAATGAAAATTCAATACACAACAAAACCCTATTATTTTAAAGGCACTTTTTGAGATATTAGATATTCCGCTTGTAGAAGCTGTACAGAGATAAATAAAGAGTATCATATCCAGCCCTTAATATAAAAAAACACTGGAAAGAGAAAAGTTAATAGATCCACGAAATGTAGAACGCATCGAAATGTCCTGCTAAAGCCAGCAGGGGGTGTTGTTCCTGGGTTGTGGTTGTCAAATTCCTGCAAGGCATGACCTTGGAAAAATTCTGACAATGTTGCCTGGCTTTGATTACATGATTTTACGTTCTCTCCTTTTCTTCTTTCTTTCCTTACCAAGAGAGTCACCCTCTGCTCTTCATTTTTTTTTAAAAAAAATGAAGAACAGAGGGGAGAAACTTGAAATGCAAACATTCCCTCCACCCCGCAAGAATTTTATAGTTCCAATTTACACCACGTTCGCACTACCTGGAGCAATCTTGATTTCCACTAAGACTTCAGAGTTCTCCTTGTAATCCATTAGTCACTTCCTTTAAGAATCAATCTTTATAGCCAACGGGGTAAAATAGGCCCAGATGTGTATGTAATGTTAGATGCTCTGACATATACCTAGAAATCATACTTTTTCTCTTTTAAAAATTCTTAGAAAGTATAGAATGAGTGACACACACACACACAAACACACACACACACACACATACACACACACACAGAGAGAGAGAAAGAGAGAGAGAGAGAGAGAGAGAGAGAAAACCTTGATCATGGAAATGGTTATATAATGGGTAGCTAATGTATAATTGTGGTATCATTCTAATTGGTATTTTCAATAAAATAACCTAACTGCTTGCTTGTTTTATCTTCAGGACAGTGATTATGCCAATCACTTCTGAGTTCAACCCTGACTTTGTATTAGTATCAGCTGGCTTTGACGCTGTGGAAGGACATGAACCTCCTCTGGGCGGGTACAAAGTGACAGCTAAATGTATGTATTCATTTTTCTTTTTTTAAAAAAATCCCTGTGCACTGACATTATTTTAGGTAGATTCATGTACTCCTTTCTTATTTTGACCAGATTGCTGTCATACGTGTGAATTCAACAAGCCAAATTAAGCCAATTTGATTGCTGTCATACATGTGAATTCAACAAGCCAAACTAAGCCAATTTGAGAAAACCTGTTCCACTGTTTTACATAAGGCATATATACATACATACACACACACATACACATGCATACATACATACATACATACATACATACATATATATCAACAGTTAATTTCTATTTTCCCCGAAGATTCCTTTCCCTACAAAATAGATTTTGTTTTTCCGTCTCATTTAAATGTTGTTGTTATCAGTGATATTTTATTAATACTGAAAGTGTTTCTGGTACATATGCACCTCCTATACAAACAGCATTTTTCCTAGGTTTCGTATCCAAGCAAAATGGAAACTTACCAGGTTGCCTTTTCTTGCATTGCAGTTGAAGTGTGAGAAACTAAGAAGGTTTCTGACAGCTGAAAATATAATTGCATAATGGAAAACAAGATGTTCATGCATACACTTAATATCAGTTTTTTGTTAGTAGTAGGAGTGCAGGCAAATGCCACTTAAAAGCAAATATGGAAAATGACAGGCCAGATTAGTAACACAGAGAGAAACATGAGAAAAGAGCATGCTTCATCTTAACCCAAGAGAAATATCAATTTGGGAATCAGTTTCAAAGGTTAGAGAGTATCAAATTTATTATAATTTTTAAAGTATATATATTTAGTTCTGCAATATTTAGTTCTAGCTATCTGTTTCAGGTCTCTGGGAGATTTTACCAAATTCAACCCTGCTTTGGGGGATTCTGACATGTGACAGAATAAAACAAAAATGGATGAGTTTCGATCATATCATCATGGCAATTATCTTTTGACCACACCTTACAGATCCCCTGGAAGGGGTCCAAATTCTGTCACCTGAATTTAATACTTAACTGTGCTTCAGCCATAACATATTGACAGAACCTTATATGAACCCTTAGCTGTCCTTCAGATGTTGTGCCAGAATTGTCAAAAGTAGTAAGCAGAGCAAAACCTAAATTGATTTGATTTTACATTTATATAAATGTGTTTAGTATTAATTCTTTGGTGATATATTTAATAACATCCCCCTGCTATCCTATTAAACTTTTCAATTTGGTAGCAATAGGGGGTATTTTTGAGCGCTATACCAAAAATTTATGTGTGGCCCTGGGCATCAGATTGTACGCCACTTGGGTAAGGCTGATTTACTTAGGATGGAATCATTGAGAGGAAATTTTTGGCACTGTTAAAGTTGCAAGCATGCACATATCATTTTTTCAATAGCCTGCCATTTGTTAAACAAATATGTAAACAATAAAGTAATTTTGATCTATTTTTTATCATGATTTCCCTATTGTTTTCTTTTTGTCACCTTATTGAACATAGCAGAGAACGTTTAAAATACCTTAATCATTCTAGTTGTCTTATCCTTGCTTAGACCTCTCATTCATTTGGCAGAATTAATTGGTGAGAGATTTTTGTTGTTGTTGTTCCTCAATGCTCTACCTTATAGCACTCTCTTCATTTGAATCTGACTCATAAATCTTATTCCAGGATTAGAACACTTTTGCTTTTTATTAACTCACACTGTCATCTTGCTGCCAGAAAGATCCTTCTTTCTATTGGTTTTAAAAATGCCTTTTTAATTTAAAAAAGAGCTGACCGAATCCACAGCATGGTTCAATATTTTCTTCCAACTGCAAGACAAAAAAATTGCAGAAAAATACAGAAGAAATGTTTGGCATGATGTTATGTGGAAGAAAAACTACACCAAAAGTACTAAAACAGCAATGAAAAGAAGAAAATAGTAATTAGAAACAAACTTCAATTATAAAACCGAACACACGATTCTTCGGGACCCACAAAAGAAGTGTGACAGTGTTATGAAATCAGATAAACAGATTTCATAAGATTAACATCTAACTAACCATTGCCATTTTATTTCAGTAAACTGGATCATATGCACTGCAACAGATATAACCCTTGGAAAGAGTTGCTAAAGTTCTGAATTAGACTCAAAGTAGTTTTTATTTCCATACACAGCAATAGTTGATGTCAGTGGGAATGTTGTTTAGAGTCATGGCCCACAGTTCTTTTTTTTCCACATTATATTCTTTATCCAGTACTAATTAGAACATTTCCTTTCTACTGCCAGATATTATTATTTTTTTCGCTGTTAAGTTTTATTTTAAACAGAAACAAAGGAGTGATGTTCAGAATGATGTGAAGTACCATGTCATTTGAGAAGGAAGATGCTCTATTATTCATACAGTATAATGCATCCCATGGCTGTGGAAATGAAAGAGAGGTTTGGCACAGGGAATATGTGTTTGGCACATTCTATATTTCTTTTTACAATTTTGTTTCCAATATTTCTGATCACCTATATTCTTATGTCACAAAACCATTTGAATGATTCATTTATTTTCAGACAGAATTTTTAACATTGCATAATTGGTTTGTCTCTGTCCCTACTTAGTTTTTTCTTCTTTGTGTTTCATTCTTACCACTTCTCATTCATATTGTTTTATTTCTATTTATGTTATTGTATTTATTTATTTCTATTTATGTTATTGTATTTATTACTATTGCAATTTTTAATTCTAAAAAATATTTTTGTTTGTACTTCTAGATCTTTTACCTGTTATGCAAATGCTTTAAGAGATAATGAATATATTCTAAGATAAAACAATAATATTTAACATAGAAAACAGTAGGTATAAAATAAAATATTATTTTATAGTTTTCCAGGTTTATAAGCTGATGGAAAAAAGTATAGAAAAAATTAAAAAATTAAAGAAATATTACTAATAATACTAACAATGAAAAATAGTTTTATGTCCATCTATTCATTGGTTTTTAGGCAAAGCATACAGGAACAAAAATGCAAAGTGAAGCTGTTTTCTGGGGCAACATATCTGAATAAATTTAAGATGAATATGCAGCACATCTTTTTTTATGACAGAAGAGTAGAATTGCTTCTAGCAGTTTCTGCCTTGCCAAAATAACTATCACTTGGACAAAATGTTGAAGACATCATTTGCTGATATGGATAGGGAGAAAGTGTTTAATTTAAATGTTAATCTAAACATGAAAAATATGCTTTCAAACCAAAATGCAGCTATATTTTAAATGTAAATTTCAGGTGAAGATGAGGGCAACAGTATGCGTATTAGAGACAGTATGACATTAAAAAGCTTTATGTTACTGGAAATTCCATGTGGAGGGTACATTAAGTGAGATTATGTTAAAAAAATAATGCTTTAAGAAACATGTATACAAAGAATTGTATAAATTTTAAAGCAAAGTTTAACTGACGTAAAAATGAGACAAACTAAAATTAAGATTTGGACAGAGAGTTGTGAAAATAGGACAAAGATGAAGCAGTACATATGTTTCCTGCCTTGAATTATTTATAAAAATAATAAATGTAAGATAAAAAAATCTAAAAACAAATACAAATATTCGATTCATCTATAATGTACTGAAGTATGAAACCGTTTTGGAAAGGCTTTTGATAGCAACATTTTTAAATTTTGTAATTATTAATTTATATATTCAATGTTATAAAAATAATAGAAAAAAGATTTTCCTTCTTTTTAGTTTTTAAAAATTGTTTCTTTTCCTCATATATGAGATAAAAGACTTTTCCTTTCTAACTCTAAATATTTTCATTCCTAGTATATTTTTATGTTTTAGTGTTCTTGATTTACATAGGAGACACAAATATATATTAATATCTCATATACGTTTCTTGTAGAGTGTGTGACCTTTACTAGATTGTTCCCTTTTCAATTGGTTTCTTATAAAACTGTCCAGATAAAGTGCACACTCCTTGAACAGTGATACTATTTGATTAACCCAGGTAGTTATCAAGCTGTCAGGTGGCAACTGTATTGATGGTAAACAATAAAGTGTCAAACAAAACATTGAAAGTTGGGCCTTTTGGTCTTCCATGGAAAGGCTGAACTTAGTGACTTGTTAAAACTTAGCTCTTATTTCTTATCTTAAAGAAAATATTTGGCACTAGGGCAAAATGGAATAATAATTCATGGTAAAGAAAGATTGCTCAGAGTGATGTTTGGTACTTAGTTACTGCTATATCATTAATGATGTTACTAATGTACCAATGCATTTAATATATTAGCCACTGAATATAAATAAATTATTGAATATTTAGCTATTGCTATCCATTTTTAGAGGTATCCATTATTATTTTTAGAGGTAACTTGCAAAATTATTTTTTTCAAAGGATTTTTGTTTTAACTGAAATATAACCCAAGAGTTATATCAAAGGAATGGGTGAAGATGGAAAAATACAAGGGGACAAATTGAATTACAAGGAGAAAAAAATGAAAATCAATAGTGCAATATTTATTAGATCAATTGTGACAATCAAAATTTCACTTCCAATTTTTAAGATCCTTTTTCCTGCTGAATTATGTAAGGAAGAGAAAAACCTAGCAACATACATCTTTCCCTCCATTCCTAAATTGGAATTTAAGAGAATTTATCAGAAATAACTGGATGAGTTTCTGACGTGTTATAAAATATTGTTAAATGCATAATTGAGGTTTCAAAGCAAAAATAAATGCTTTCCCGTGTTTAATAATATAAAATCAAGTTATTTGATTCTGTTTCAAGTACCAGTCTTTTGAAAAGAAGGGAAATGAAGTTACAGAATATGGGAAAAGTAGTTGCTAAAGTTTTAGATGATGCAGTAAGTAAACAAAGAAGTAATGTGATGTATGGATGTGCTTTGTTTACTTATCATATGAATCATCACAACTTATTATGATAGGCCTAATAGAAGTTGCTAAAATACTTACAAACATTTAAAAATAGCAGAATTATTTTCAGGGAGGAAAGTAAAAGAAATGCAAACTTGCACTGGCAGTTCTTTGGAGGTGGGGAATGCAACTTCTTGTTTGCTTGTTCAGCAGCTGCATTTCAAGCTGTGACAAGCTGTTGACACTTCTAATCTTCCAACTCTATCTAGTAGACATTGATAGCCCAAGAGGCGAATTGAAAGGCAGAATTTTTAATTTAGGTACTGATCCATCCTTTCTGTCTTGTAAGTAAGAGCTGATAAAATAAGTTATGCCAACCATAGACATTTCAAATACTTTTTGTTTAAATAAAATTATATTGAAAACAATATATCTGACAAGTTTTTATTCTTAAGAAGTTCACATCCTTGGTATTAGAAGAAAACTCTGAGTAACAAGGAGAACATAATATTATTTTTCTAGATCTTTAGATAAGAACACAGCAAATAAATAGTTTGTTATGCTATTTAGTATATGACAATTTCCTGCTGAACTTTTAAAGGTGTTAAGAATTGTTACCTCAAATGTTTTTACCAAACAAACACTTCTTATCAGTAGCAATAATCTCACAGCATCTCCTTGGCCATGGACTTCAAAAAACAAAGATACAATAACCCTTAGTCTACCAGACATCGTTCTGGGGAAGACAGATATATTTAAGAGTCTGAATTCTCTTCTGGTTTGTCACGTAAGGTTGTTAGAAGCAGTCTGTGACCTAATCAGCGAGTTCATCTTTTTTACACTCTTTTCCTGATACATACCCTTTGAAAGTTTGTATCATCATTGGGAATCCTCCATTAGCCCACACATATATTTCTTTAACTTCCAGCAATTAGCTAAGTTATTTTTTTAATCTGTTTTAATTTAGAAACTATTATGAAATAAGGAAAAGGAAATATAAAATATTATAGAAATAGAAATAGTCCCCTTTTAAAAGCAATTTTTTCAATATGTGCCTCATGGGCCACACACATCTTATGCTCCAAAGAAAAACCATTATTTTATCAAGATGAGAATTTTACTTTATAGTAAGGAGAGTAATTGTAAACCCTGTATATGCAAGATGCTGGAAACTGGAACAGGATAATCAAGTACCTTGGATATTTTTCAAGGCTCTAAGTAGGTCTTGTATGTGATTTGGCTGTAATTAATTATTAAAAATTAAATGCTCATGAGCATTAAAGAAAATGTTTCGGGGAAGTCTATTTCTATTTCTAATTATATAGTTTAGAACATATTTTGCCAGTCTGGACTCCCTCTATATATGTTAACTTCAGCTCTCAAAATTCTCAGCTAATTTAGGGAGGAATAAATTATTAATTTAGATAGGAATAAATTTTCTCTTACTCAGTTCTGGGATCCAAATTAAAACATCACAGACAAATGTTTTGCCTCTTTTGAACATATCTAACAAAGGGCAGCCCACCATTTCTATGGATACTAAATTCATATTAAGTGCTGAAATGCAAGATATTTTTATCAGTTTTCCATATTTAATATTCCATGGTCTTCTGACCACATAAGTCGTTAGTGAAAATCAAATCAAAATACAGTGATCAAAGATTAGAAATGTATGAAACAAAATATATTCCCAATCTATATCATTTACATAGTTTATTCTATTATAACAACTTGTGAATTAAAAATAGTGGAATTATTATAAAATTATTATTATCTTTTAGTATCTTTTTATATCTATTTTCTTTTAAAAAGAAAAATGTATTTCATATATTTTAGTGTAAGTTATTCTCTGTAGTCATACTATTCTCCACCATAGGCTTTTAATTGTGTTTCAGCCAATGAAGAGACCTTCATAGAAGCAGATCTATGAGATAATACAGAGTGGTTGTCAGTCCGTTGCTTTACAA